TATTAACATTTATAGTAATTTAAAATTGAAGAAGATATGGTTCCAGCAAGTGGATTTAATTAGATTCGTTGAAGACAACGAGAAAGTATTTGTCGTCTCGTCACTTGTGAACTTGGTGCGGGGCATTCAATGCAATGATATTATATTTTAACAATGATATCATCTATATGCCATCGACTCTTAAAGGGACCCTTAAAATGGACCAAGATAGAGGACATATGGGCTAGTTGGCAAAACAAGTTGAAGAAAGTGGCGCTCGCGGCAACCGTTAACTTCATTTGAATGCGAGGAATAAGTTGGCTTTTGAAAACGAATCTCAACCTACGAGTCTTGTGATACATAAGATTAAAACACATGTTTATCGTACAATATTTACGGTGTATCCGAATGTACTTGCCGAGTTTGAGAGGAAATACATTGGGCTATGATAGATTTATCACTTGCATTGGGAGATTGAGAGTAAAGGCAACATCATGTCCAACGACACCTTGGCCGTGGAGGGAGTCGAGCCGAGGATAGCGATGTGTAGCATTATTGTTTTGGTACCTTTTGTCTTAATAGTCTTGAGTTAACAATCGCCTTGTAGTTGTCTTAGACCGTCCATATGCGAGTGAGGAGTCGAGCTTGTGACTGCCCATTGCGCTTTTGTATGTCGACTTTCGGTCGTTTGTACTCCAATTTTGATCAATAAATTTACTTTTACCGATAAAAAAAATGATATCATCCCAAACACAAACAATAAAGCAAGTCAAGTATGGTGGTATGGGGTCCTCCTTTTGTTATTAACTGAGGATGAAAATTTAGGAATTGAAGTGTATGGTTCAATCCATACGACTTGTGTTAACAATCTATGCAGTAGATTTGTGTATGAAAATAGAAGAGGTCGAGAGAGAATCGAGCGCAACAAGGGAGAAATCTTATTTCAAAAAAATGTGTACAATGAACACTAACATAATAGATTAGGTTTGTTGGATATCACTTGTGAGTTGTCATACATATTGATTTCATAGAGAAAATAGGTCTAGATTATATGTCTAGTGGGCCACTCCTCCAATCACTAATTGGTTTTAGGATATTAACCTCACTACATTGCACTTAGACTTAACCTTTTTATGGCGTGCTTCACATGTGTGGGATCGCACCCACTTCCTTCGATTCTTACAATTTTCAGTATTTATACTCAAATACAAAAAAATAAAAGTGTTACTCTAAAATTGTGCTTCCTAAACTAATATTACAATTGTGTAACACAGTAACTAACCCCCCCTCCGGCAAGAGGAGCATGTATGTTAATCATGCTCATCTTGGAGAGATTTGTCTTGAAAGCTTGAACACTTAATGGCTTTGTCAATATATTAGCAACTTGGTCCTGAGATGGCACAAATCTAAGATCAATGATTCCTCTAGCCAATTTTTCTCTGACTAAACGAGAATCAATTTCTATGTACTTGGTCCTCTCATGCTAGATTGGATTACAAAATTACTATTTGAAAAAATGGTAGCAAAAATGTATGAGGAATCTTTAAGTCTGCTAATATGTATAATGGCCATTGTGCTTCACATGTGTTTGATGCAAGTGCTCTATATTTATATGATCTATTCATAGTTTGTTTTCTTAGATGTCTATGAAATTAAAGATGAGCCAAGAAAAAATGCATAACCAGTAATGTATGTTTCTCCTGATATCCACACGACCAGCCCAATCACTATCTAAAAAAGCATGTAAAGATAAAGAAGAGGATCTGGGATACATAATACCTTAACCAACTGAGCTTTTTAGACATCTGAGCACCCTGTGAGTTGTTGTGAGATGCTGTTATGTAGGTGCAGCCATGTGCTGACTTAGAGCTTGTATGCAGTAAGAAAGATCAGGCCTAGTTATCGTAAGATACAATAACCTCCCTATTAACTGACTATAATCAGTGGCATCAACTACTTCACAACCATCAGACACAACACAAGTAAATTTTAAATTAGAGTTTATTGGAGTACTGGCAGGTTTAGAATCAAGATAACCATTATCACGTAATATATTTAAAGCATATTTTCTTTGGCAAAGATTAATTCCATATTCAAATTGGGCAACTTCTATTCCTAACATGTATTTAAGATTCCCCAAGTCATTAATAGTAAGGCAATCACTTAAATGAGTTTTGACGGAATTTATCTCAGTCATATCATGCTAAAATGATGTCATCTACATAAAATAGAACATCATAATGCATGATAAACAAACTACAATCAGCAGCAACAAACTACAATCCTTAGTTTTCCCCTTTTGAATCGAGAAAAAAACACAATCTGTCGCCAATCAACTACAAACCAAGCACTCCTAAGACATAACTACCAACCCAAAAGCCATATAAAACCAAAAGAAACAAAAAAAAAAAAAAAGAAATCGTAAACAAAACCTTGCAGCATGTTTCAACTTTTCAGCTTCCTCTCACGCAACTACCCGTTTTGCCTACTAAAACCTGATTGGCCTCATGACCGTCCGCACTTTAGCTAACCATAAATACCCTTCTCATACTAACTGGCTTAGGCTGCAACGCTCTATCTTCGATGAGTTCTTAATTCAAAGAAAAATGAAAATTGAAACTGGGAGTACAAACAAAAGTTGTATAGTTTAACTGGCACTCCGTCAAATTAGAAGGGGTAGTGTTTTGAAAATAAACATCAATGGCTATCTTAAAGGAAAAAGTGTGTGGCTCAGGTAAATGATAGAACTTTGGGTGTGCCAATGAGGAGGCCAATCACTTCAAGTGAAGGTAAAAAGAAAGAATGAAAAAAGAATAAAAGCCACCAAACAAGATAATATTCCGATCTTTTAATACCTAGAGCAATAGAAACATTAATAGTAGGTGCTTTAGCTTGATGAGAATGTGATTTTAGCGGTGATTGAGTTTGTTCGTTTGGTGGAGACCTACTTGAAGGTAATGTGGCAAGTGCTGCACAATGAAAATATAATTCAATTTGAACCATTTTATAATTATAAGACAATTAGATGACACATTCTTACACATGACAGCTAATTAACATTAATATGTACCTGGAGCATGTGCGGAGGAAAATGGAGCTTGTAAATCAGTTCCATGTAAAGCTTCAATACTTCACTATATCACCCCAAGTACTCGAGAAAAAGGGATAGAGGAATTATCACCTCGCACTACTGACTTGAGCAAAATATTCATCAATTTACCAATTTGAACAAGAAAATCAGTTCTATACAAAATAGGATCGCGTTGAGAGTGTAATAACAGAAAAAAAAAAAAAAGCAAAACTCATGCGGCAAACAATATAACTGCCCCCATCGTACCATCGTACTATCTACAGCCTTCACCAATTTATAACGAAAGAGAAGGTTCTCGTTGAGTTTGCTTCAAATCTCGTAATCACAAGAAACCCAGCATAGAATTAACAATATAAATGAAAAAAAAAAGCCAATTCTCACCGGTGCTGGTGCGTTACCCGCCGAGGCCTCTTTGTCGGCCGCGATTTTCTCAT